ACAAAATTGGGAAGATGTCTATGTAGACGACGTAAATATATCTTATGAAAAATTCATGAATATACTAGAAGTTCTGTACAAAAAAAATTGTGTGCAAATAAATAATAAACAAATAAAAAATAAGGTCGATCCACCATGGATGACAAACGGACTGAGAAATGCATGTAAAAAAAAGAATAATCTCTATTCATGTTTCCTTAAATCTAGAACGCATGATACAGAAACCAAATATAAAAAGTACAAAAACAAATTAGTAGGGATTATACGAAAACAAAAGAGGGAATATTACAGCAAATTATTAAACAAAAGTAGTGGAAATATGAGGGCAACATGGCAAGTATTAAATTCTGTTCTTAATAAAAATAAGGTTGGAAATGGTATTTCAAAATATTTTGTTGAAAATAACGTGGAAATCCACGATGAAAATGAAATTGTAAATGGATTCAACAATTATTTTGTGAATGTCGGGTCAAACCTCGCTGCAACAATACCAAATGTTGATGCAAATGTGAGTTATTTAATAAATAGTCGTGTAAATAGTATGCTTCTAAAGGGAACTGACAAAGAAGAAATAATGATGGTTGTAAATAAATTTGCTGATAAAAAATCAAGGGATTGTGAAGACATGGATATGACGGTTGTGAAGGAAATAATGAGTTGTGTAATTGAACCATTTACATATATTTGTAACTTGTCATTTTCAACAGAAACTTTTCCTAACAGAATGAAAATAGCCAAGATAGTCCCTCTTTTTAAGAATGGCAGCAAATGTCAATTTAACAACTACAGACCCATTTCTTTGCTGCCTCAATTTTCGAAAATCTTGGAAAAATTATTTGTAATCAGATTTGACCTCTTTTTAGAAAAACATAATATATTGAGTAATAGTCAATATGGGTTCAGATCAAATAACTCGACTTTAATGGCTCTGATGGAGTTGATAGAACACATTACTACAGCTGTGGATCAACAAAAATATTGTGTGAGTGTTTTTGTTGATTTAAAAAAGGCATTTGATACAATTGACCACACCTTACTTCTTGATAAATTGGATAAATATGGTATAAGAGGACCAGCTTTTCATTGGATCTGCAGTCATTTGCAGGACAGAAAACAATTTGTACAGATAGATGATATAAGATCATGCCTCTGTGATGTTTCATGTGGAGTACCTCAAGGCTCTGTACTTGGTCCTAAGCTGTTTATTTTATATATTAATGACTTAATTGATGTATCCAGTATCCTAAAATGTGTTCTTTTCGCAGATGACACCACTTTCTTTTATTCCGGTACTGATTTGGAACAAATGTTAGAGTTAATTAAGAGGGAGTTTGTCAAAATACAAACTTGGTTTAATTTAAACAAGTTATCATTGAATATTAATAAAACAAATTATATGATTTTTGGTAATAGAGTGACAACTACTGATGTTCATTTCAAAATCGATGATATTGAAATATGTAGAGTGAGTGAAACAAAGTTTTTGGGTGTGGTTATTGATGACAGATTGTCTTGGAAACAGCACATAAATCTTGTAAAAAGTAAATTATCCAAATCCACAGCTGTACTATATAGAGTTAAGGATTTATTGAATGAGAAAGCTTTGTATTTGCTGTACAATACAATTATAATACCACATTTAATATACTGTGTTGATGTTTGGGGCATAGCATGCAAAACGACTACTAGGTCTATTTTAATCTTGCAGAAAAGAGCCTTAAGAATTATAACGAAAACTCATTACTATCATCCTACTAGTGTATTATTTTGTAAAATGAAGTTGCTGGGGTTTTATGATTTGGTGGAATATAATATTCTTTTGTTAATGTATAAAGCACGTCATTATACACTGCCCTCAAATATTCAAGTGCTTTTTGTAAAAAGAAAAAGTTGTTATAATCTAAAGGGCACTGATATTTTTGTTAAACCTAAATATAGAACTAGTTTAAAGGGTCGGTCAACGTTGATACATGGAATAGGACTATGGAATAGTTTGGAAACTGATGTTAAAACAGCTCAGTCAATGTCTGTATTCAAGAAAAAAATTAAGAGTATAATGTTGCAAAGATATATGTAATTTGGTTAATATAAAATGTTTTTAAAATCATTATATTACTATAAGTTGATTATTTGTTTCATGGTTGACTAATGCATGAATTGCATTGATTGTTTAGTTGTTGAAAAATTATTTTCATGAATGACTATTGCTTTAATTGATTGTTTGTATTGATTTTTTGTCTAAGAAGGGGCAGTTATTATAAGATTTTTTCTTCTTCTGCTTCCTTTCATTTTAAATTTTCTTTTCTGTTTTTTTTATCCATATGGATTGTAAATTGTTTTTTTTCCTGTGTTTTAATTTGAAATGAATAAAATAAATGAAATGAAATGAAATGAAAAGTTGAACAAGAAAATGTGACGTTAAAGGAAACATCCTTTGTCCCAAAGCAGGTTTAAGTATCATTAATATTTTGGTTACTTTATTTTTCTTTTTTTATGAATTTGTAACTACCATAATTTTCAGACTATAGAGCACACCTGAATATAAGCTGTGCCTGTAACACGGCTGGTTAAAACAAAAAAACAGTAGCCTACCAGGAAGTCGTTGATCGTATCTTCATCTTCCTCCTGCACACCACAGACAGTATATGCTGCACACTGTGCCCATGAAATTGTTCTGATTGTTCTGACAGATTGGGAAAATGGGGGGGGGGGGGGGGGGACAAAGTTCCCCCTCTCTCCAATGGCCCAATGAAACTTGGTTTCAATGGTCCACTGGGGAGAGGACCATTGAAACTCGGTAAGTGGACCATTGAAACCAAGTTTCATTGGTCCACTGTGACCTGTTTGGTAATTTCATTGGTCAGATTTTCTTTTAACCTTTTTTATCCAGGTAGTTTCATTGAGCCACGAGGACCCCACCCCCCAAGAGAGACGTGTATTGGGCAGCTATGTGAGCACCCGGGTGTGACAAGGCTAAATGTTTTGGTGGCATGAAGCTCTTTAGCTCTTCAAAAAATAAAAATCCCTAAATTAGCAGCAGCGTTGTATAAGCCGTGGGGTTCAAAACCCATGAAAAAAAGTTGTGGCTTATAGTTCGGAAATTACACTATTTTCACATTATTCAACAATCAAAATGGATTTTGTTTTTTAATGTTATGGCTAGGTATTAAAAAACAAACATTTAGCCCTCCCCACTACTCAGTTATGTTGCTCTTATTTTGAAATGTAACCAGAAGTTCTGTGTTCAGAGAGGTGGCTGGAATAGTTATGTCGAACCGGCTCAAACAATCTGCCGTTTGATCGTAACATTAACTACAGTATAAATAATATTCTCCTATTAGTTAAACATTACATACACAAATGTCGCTTCTTTGAAACCATCCCTAACTTTATACAGTGGAAGAATGAGCTAAATATAAGTCTTTATGTTTTGTGAAGTCAAGAAATGCTTTTAAGTTGACGTCTTTTTTGAAAACATTTGTATGTAAACGTATTGCCCTGGATTTATTATCTTGTATATACAATATGCACCGTTAAGGATTTTTATTATATTGTTTGATTCATTTTTATTTGTTTGTTTTGTTTGCTCTTTGGAACTTTATAAGTATGTAGTGTGAACACATAAAGTATATGTTATGGAACCTTTTTGATGTTGACTATATAATAATAATAAATAATAATGAAAAAATTCTGCCTGCCGTTATACTCAGGTTATACTTGCTTAAGAAGTCTTCTGATGACTTCGTCAAATCAGGTGTGCCCCTTCCCTTAGCAAAAAGTCGTTTATTTAAGTGTACTACAAGTATACTTATTTTACACTAAAAATGAGGAAGTGTACTTAAAGTTTACTTTTTATAAACTTTATTTGATGTATTTAAAAATCGTATAAATAGTCCCAATTTAGTCCAAACGAGTATTAAATTAGTATACTTCTACTACACTACAAGTATTGTGTGTAGTATACTTGATATACTTGTACTTAACTTAAAGTATACTTGCAAAAATAAACTTCAAATGTACTACATTTTGTTAAAGGTTGAAATACGCCTTCCTCTGGGAACGCCTATTTCGTTTGTAGACATATCTACTTGGGGAGTTTGATGCCACCAGCAGTCACATGTTGAAGTGCCCCTGGGCAAGACACTGAACCCCTCATTGCCTCTGATGTGTGTCCCATCAGTGTTTGAATGTGACCTAAAGCTCTGATTAGTCTCTACAGATTCAGATGATCTTTGTAGAGATGTAGTAGAGTGCTGTATGGATGTGTGTTGGAGGTAAATGAGGCACAGATTGTGTTGTAAAGAGCTTTGAGTGTCTTGATTAGATAGAAGGGCGTTGTAGAAGTACAGTCCATTTATCATTTATTGACACTAAAAAGCCTCAGTTGTCTGGTTTAGGATTCAGATCTCATTCCTAATCTTCATCCATGTCACTCCCAAAGGAGAACCTCAGCATCTTCATTTCTGCAACTTCCTGTTCTGTCTACCCAAGGGGAATCAATAAACAAAGATCAATAAAGATAGATGTTCTCACCACTATCTTGTACCTTTCCTTTGCTATTTGCTGACACTCTAACCTTAAAGAAGTTCCTTCTAAGTACCACTAGAGGGGATTGTGCAGCAGTGGTGCCACAGTTTGAGAACGTTGGCCCTTTTCACCTCCAAATATCAAACGCCTCCAACACACAGTAATGTTGCTTTTATGTGTTTTTCAGCTGGTTCTCTGAAAGAAGCCCTCATTATGTAAATGATGTTCAGGCATTCAGCTGTAATGAACCCTCGTCTGCTTTGTTTGTGTCCAAGCAGTCCAATTCTTCATCAATTCTTACTACTGTTTTCCCTTTGTGTGGATTGTTGAACAGTGGCTGCAGGCAGAGTCTTGTCTATGCAAACCTGATACTGGTTCACCTTCAGCCACTGGGACTGATTGAGGGCTTGGCTCCTCCCCATGGTCTGGGCTGCTTGTATAAAACCCTACCTCCCTCAGCCTGCCTCAGACTAAAGTTGAAAAGTGTGAGAGCTGTCAGAATCCCTAAAGGGGAAAGGGAGAAAATGAGGAATATGTATTTATTTATCTTCCTTTATTTTATTTCCATCTAAAAGTAACCAAAGTTTTTCATCGGCTTCCTTTCTTCTTTCTATTTTTTGTGGATTAACTTACCAGGATTTAAAGAATACTGCGTTTTTACTGAAAGCTATGGTGGCTTACGATGAGCTGGGTAGCTTGGTGCCTATCAAACGAACTTTACAAGTGATAGACTGCCAGAACCAAGCCAACAAGGAATCAGAGGTGAGATATAGAGACACTGATCCTGCAGGTCTTCAGTGAATGTTTAACTGTGACTTCTTTAGACAAAGTCATGTTTTATCCTGTGAGTGAATCAGTGCCTAACCCTGGTTTTATCACACTTCATACAACGTGTTTGAAACTTTGACCTGCGTGCCTGATTATTTACAGTGAGTTTCTGTCTAACCTGGATTACACTGCACATTTTTGTAACTTTGAAAACTTTGCATATTTCAAGTGTTTTCTCCAAACTGAGTCCCAACAAGGTAGCTCATCTCCAGAGGACATGGAGACAAGAGGACTGTTGATGTTCTCAGAGCAGTGCAAACAATAAGTAGAGTAAGCAGAGTGTTTTGTTCTCAGTCCAGGTCAGTCAGGTTATGCAGTAACCCTGCATAAAGAAAGCTTTCTGTCAGTCTTCCACACATGCAGGTCAACCATGTTATCTCTGCTATGAATCTGCTACAGCAGCCTGACGGTGTTCTCCACCCAAAGACAGAAACACAGAGTGACTCTTTGTCCTGGGAACTCCTTCTTTCTGCTGTGACTCATCCATTTGAAGAATTATTGTAGTTTCACTGCTTCAGAAACAACAATCTTATGAACTTGTTTAGGACTGAGCCACGTTTGCACATATTTGCTCTATTTTTAGACGTTTTAGGGATTTATTTGTGCCCTCAAGGATTTAAATGTTCTGTTCTGTAATCACATGAACATGACAACAGCTTCCAGGGTCACATTAAAGATAAGCTTTTAGGAACAATGACTAAACTTTGATGGTTACGAGGTTGAAAGTTCCCCTGAGTGTCACCGCCGATACCTAAAGCAAAGTCACGATCTGTGTAGCTCCGTGGATCTACAACAACAGCCTAAATCATGGTGGGACCAACAGGAATGGCAACCTTTTCTGCCTGTGTGCGCTGATTCACTTTACAGCTAATATACAAAGAGGAGGACTACTGACCCTTTGTTATTCTGAGGCCGCTCACCAAAGCACAGGAAGGCCATTATGCTTAACATGCTTTTCCAACACTAACTTTAGCACGCCCCTCCGCTGTTGCTGCTACATTTCACTGTTTTCTGTGTAGCATTTTTTAATGTTGTTTTTGTCTGATTTAAAAGTTACAAAGACAAATATGGGACTTTCCAAAGTTTGTCATTACTCCAACCACAGTCACAGCATTTGACACATCTTGCCAAAAGAGGACTAAGTTCTCATGGGTGATTGTGGAGACTGTGACCGCAGCAGACTACACACTGACCGCAGCCGCAGCAGGCCTCTCCAGACGGAGCTAATCTGTTCCACAGTTGTGTCCACAGGGTCTAAAGTCTAGACTGCTCAAATGAGCTGAGTCAAGACAAAATCTCACTTGGCCTGAGTCAGGAAAAATGTGTCTTGTGGCAGTGTTCACTCAAAATGAGCAAACTAGCAATGTTCTAGTCATGAAACGCTACTTGCACCTGGGGCGTCCTTGATGTCTCATGCTGGATGAAATCATTACTGCACATCTGCGACTCTTTGATTTGAATTTTTTTTTAAGCTTGTAGCTAGATGAAAGATGAGCAGCTGTTTTTTCTTCTTTCAGCCTCGGGGTGGGGTGAGGAGTAGGACAACGGGTTATCTGACCCAGGTGTAGAACAGCTCTCACGCAAGACTTATTAGAGCTTGTCTCAGCTTGCAGCCAGAAAAACTCCACTGTGCACCCCCTGCAACACTGCACTTTGTAAAATACAGTATAGGATACAAGTACCGTAGAACAAAAGGTCCAGTGGTTTTTCTAACTAATGTCACTGGTCTATTTCCATCATAGTTTTTACTGTAGTTTATTGTTGTCTGTCTAAAACAGGTCTCTCTTGTAAATGAGTCCTCGTGACTCAATGAGACTAACCTGGATAAATAAAGGTTGAATAAAAAAAAAAATCATTTGCAGATTAGTGAACCACTACCTTTGAGCACAGCACTTTAGGGACTCAGGCCACTCAGGTGAATTTATTGTTCTTTGAGTGATGCAACATCTACTTCTGTGGATGACGGGTGCTGTAGCTGTTGTCTGGATGGATATTTGCAGAGTACACAGGGATGGGCATCGAACAGCTGAGAAGCATGACCCTTGCATTCTTGGCATTCCTCCAGAGTGTCTTTCACACCAGATCAGCAGTTGGAAAAGTTCTTTGTGCTCAGTGGGTTGACCCAGCTCTAGACTCTTCACATGATGGAGCTAACAGCTGTTGGAACTGCTTTCGCCCCAGTATCTGTGTCTACTACTCACCAAGCTGTCTGCCTGCAGATCCATTTTGACTCCATTACTCTTTCAAACCCCAAATCAGGAAGTGGCACGAGTTATGAGCATTTATGATGACCGTGAATTTGTTTTGCCTCAAGAGAGTCACAAGGCAGCACTTGGACTTACTGCTGCGGTGTTAGTTAGCACATTGGCGTCAGAGAAATTTGTAATGTAGGTGGTGGTGTGTGTGTGTGTGGGGGGGGGGGGGGCCTTTGGGGGTCCTCCCCCAGTAAATTTTGGATAAAGTAGATGCCATTTCCTGCATTCTGGTGCATTTTAACTGGTTATTAAACATCTGCGTGTATCTACATAAGTAAACACTTGATTCAATAGCTATTTTAGAGAGCATGACTCAGCAAGTTGTAAGGAACTCTCGTGAGGGTTTGGACCAAGATCACAACACAACAG